AATCGCAAATCTTATTATTAATATAAATCGTATAAAGTATTGTATTATACTGCTATCATTTTATTTTCTTGTTTATATATTGCATAAAGTAATTATCTAGTAATCCGATGTATACATTATAGTGCTATCTGTTAAGAATCTCTCTAAAGCGAAGTTTCTATTCTTTAATAGCTTGAAGGATTTATTCTGGTTTTCTAATAAGAAACTATTCGTATTGTATCTTATCTGAGAAATGCGTTTTGCAGCTACAATAGATGCAGGAGATCTAAGCTAGTTTATAATGTAGATTGTAGAGTAAGCTAATCCAAGGATTCTCATCTCCTTATGCTTTAATATTTTGCAAGGAGATGCAGATAAAAAGCTCTTTCAGCTCTATTCTGTAAACGAGATATTTAACTCATATTGTTTCCTTATTCTATCTAATGCTGAAGAGAAATCTTCCTTTAGGCTTGTTGGGCATATTGTTTGCAGAGAGCTTCTGCAAGCTGCTAGATTGCTTGCTTTAGCTTGATTCTTTTGTTGCTTGAGAAGCGTTTTCTATATTGCTTAGATATTTGTATTAGTAGCTAAGAAAGTACTATTCCTTATTCATATCCCTAGTTATAGTGCTTGATATAAGTGATAAAGAATGTTGAAGAATATTATTGCTAAGCTCTTCTTCTAGTATCTGAATGCTTCATTTAGTAATATCAGAGCAGTTCGAGTTATTGCTGCTTATAATTATGCTGAGCGTATACTCTTGCTCTGCTATTGCTATCTGCTTGTAGCGCTTAGATTTCTGAGGAAACTATTCTGAATCTTCCTTATTCGAGAGATGTATTAAGCAGTTATTGTTGTAGCAGAATGTTTAGCTGAGACTTCTATAATTAATAGAGTTCGATACTTGCTCCAAGAAAGTATTTTTGCTTAGTTAATTGAATTTCTATTGTTAAACAATATTCATCTGATATTCTTTCTGAATTAATTGCTATTTGTTCTTTCAGAATTAATAGCAGTTGTATATAATATATTCTTATTTGTTGCAGTTGTAGCAAGTAATGCTATTTCTTTTGCTATATTGCTTATTAGTAGTATTGAGTTTTATGGAATTAGTATATATAGTACTGCTTTAAGCTATACTGCTATATTAACTGCTATTCTTATTTTAGAGTTTCTTGCTTATATTAGCTAGAAATCTTTAAGTTTAGCTTTCTTTCTTTTTAAACTTCTCTATTTATTGTTTATATAGATAGTTGTTAATACAGATAGCTTAATTGGAAAATATTGTAAAGTTCTTTAGCTAATTCTGCTTGGAGATTTCATTTTTAATATCATTCTTAAATTTCTTATAATAATGCTTTATAAGATTCTTATCTTTCTATAGGAGTTGCGCTAAAAGTTGCTTAAATCTAACTGTATAAGCAGAAGCTAACTTGGTCTGTTTAAGATTTATAAGCTGCTAAGCTATAATGTATTCTTTATTAGGATTATTAAAGATCTTCTTAAAAGCTTTCTCAAAGCTTTTAAAAGAATTAAATATATTCTTAGTACTCTGGATATGCATGTTAGGATTGTTCTAATGCTTCAAGTAGTTGCATAGAGAAAGCTTGTATTAGATAAGAGCATTCTTTTCGAAATGAGTTTCTATAAGAATAATTTTCTTAGATTTCTTAGTAAACTGAGTCTTATAATATAGGAAATATGCTTTGCAGTAAATAAGAAATTTATATAGCATCTTTTAGTTGCTATTATATATAGCAGGCTTGTTTATCTTATATGCTTTTCCAGCATTATTAGTAGTTGCAGAAATAAACTGTGTCTGCTAAGCTTGTTAAGCTAGCTAAGCTTATTAATTAGCAATAATAGCGCTCTAAGCCTGCTATTATTTATATAGATTCTGAATATACTGAATAAGCTAATATATCTAGTTAATCAGTTCTTTCTAAGTAGAAGCACATAAGAACGAAGAGGTTTCTAAAGAAGCTATCGTATTCCGTATTGCTTAAGAGGTAATACTGAACTATTCTTGAACAAGAATTATCAAAATGTAATAAGCACTGTAGCAATCCGAAGATTTCTAAGTATACGAAGGAGTTTATGCTAACAAGAGCAGTATTAAAGTGCTAAGTTCTTGAATACAGAACTATACAAGTTCTAATAAGCGATGCAAGTATTTACTATCTTTAGAGCTACTCAGTGTATGAAACTGAATACTTAGATTAACAACTGAAGAACTATCTAAAGGAAATCTATTTAGCAGCAAGAAATGTAAACCTTTATATACCTGGTTCTTCAGTCTCTTGCTTGCTGGTGATTATCCTGGATTACTACTGATCATTCCGGATTACTATTGATCACTAAGCGCTGGTGATCACTAGTGATTGCCTTATTGTCTGATTGGTTGGCCTGTAACCCTAACCCTGGGTTATGTAATCCTTGTGGATTGTCTGATGTTGAGTTATGATATCTGGTTCTTGTTTGCCTGTGATCTGTTTTCGTGACCTGCATGTTGGATGGGTTATAACATATAGAGAAATCCAGAGATGAAATAATCAAAGAAAAGCTTGATCTATATTACAAATAGTATTTCTAATAGCACAGAATGATTTAGCAATATCAATCTATTATTAATAATATAGAATATCATCTATTTAGAGAAGCTGCTACAGAAAATATTAGTTTTAAGAACTTTAATAAGTATTATATCTAATTCATTATATATATATAAGATAATATTCGATATTAGTATATAAAACAAATGCATATTCGAACATAGAAAGAGAGCTACTAAGCTCATTTTAGCATCTATATTCAGCATTGCTTATACAGATTCATTCTCTTTACCTCTCAGCTGCAAAGGAATATATACTACCAGAGCAATGCTTCTATCTCGAATGCTGCTAAAAGCAATCATAGAAGCTATTATAGAAGGAAATAAGGATTTATTGAAAGCTTGAATTATATTAATAATAAGCTTAATATAGCTAGATTTAGCAATAAGAAACAAAGCTTGAACTGCAAATAATTAAGCTAATCTCGAAAAATACTTAATAATATCCCGAGTATTGATAATCTAACTATCAATAAGCTTTTCAGATTGGAAAAGCATTGAGATTCCGGATTTATGCTGCAATAAATTAGCTAATCCAGCAGTATCTGCCTTATGCAGATCTGAGCTAGTTTGATTATTAAAATCAACAACTTTTCAAGCTTTAGAACTAACTCCTTGAAGACTGTAAATCAAACGAGCTTCCTATTCTGATAATATAACTATTATTTCCTAGTCTGAAACTTTCAACAAATAGTTTAGAAACTGATTTAGAAGCTTATTACTAATAGCTTAAACTATTAGCTCTCTATTCAGATTATTAGATTGCTTATTAAATTCCTCCGATTCAATATTCCTGAAATGTATAAAGATCTCAACAGTTCTCATACTTGCATCTCCTTCAACCTTACTATCATCATATCCAGCCTTCCTAATACAGCGCTTCTTTGCTTTACTTACATTTATCTAAGCTTGAATAAGCTCAATACCTACAGCATTAATACTAGAAAGCTTTAGTAAATATAGTTCAGCTTGAGCTGAAGTAAGATATAATTTCCTTACTTAAATCTTATTAATATTACTAAAGATCTTAATATTATTAATTCTATACTAATTATTGCATTTAGAAACGAAATTAATCTCTTTCTACAGTATCTTATTCTTAGCTATCTCAGAATCTCTATACTATTTCTTATTCTCTTGAATTAAGCTAATATATTAAGAGATTCAAGAATTCTCAATACTCTTTAGCTGCTAATTCTTACAGAAACTAAGAATCAAACAAATTATACTGCTTTTGGAATTATCTCAAGCGAATATAATCTAGCTATATAATACTAATTTTAACTTAGAATTCAGAAACTCTAAGCAATTACTAAGATACTATTCTAGCTTTGCTAATGCTAAAGCATAGCAAATGCTACAATCTATAATAATACAGAGTTTTATGCACTCATAAGCTCCATGAAATTTCAATCTACAGCTATAGCATCTGTGCAGAGTTCTATTCTTCTTCAGAATTTCATTAATCTCCGCTCGCTATACTTCAGAATACTGCTTATCCTTATCCTCCGAACTTGTATAGATAATATTCATCTGCAAGAAATTTGCATTTCTCTGGAAAGAATTTCTTATAGAAATAGTTTAAAAATGCTTAATTAGTTATAAGATTTCTTATAGAGCTTTGATTTAATTATATAAAACATTTTATATCTATCTAAAAGCATTAGTCTATAGCTTTAAGAATTTTATCATTGCAATTTGATTAATGCAAAGTTGCTCTATTATTAAAGCTAACTGATTATATTCTTAATTGCTCTTCTAAGCAGATTCAGCTTTCAAAATCTGCTTAATTAATTCAAGCTGAGCTTGCTAATTACGAATTAACTATTGAGACGATTAATAGTATAATAGCTCTACTGCTTATTCCAATAGATTTATCGATTAACTGAGAGCATTATTGTAATGAGCACTGCAGCAATCCGAAGATTCCTAAGTATACAAGGAGATTTATGCTAACAAGAGCGGTATCGAAGTATCAAGACCTTGAATACGGAATCGTACAAGTCTTAATAAGCAGTGCAAGTGTTTACTGCCTTTGGAGCTACTCAGTATAGAAAACTGAATACTTAGATTAATAACTGAAGAGCTATATACTGGATTCATCTAATGATAATAAATATATTCTTATATATTTAGCTCTTTAGTTCTAACTAATCTAATTATATTATAATTTCTTATAGTTATTTCTCTGAATATATTAACTATATTCATAGCTAATATAGTTGTACTAATAATCCTAATCCGGATTACATAATCCTAATTAGTATTCAATATTGAATTATAATATCTAGTTCCTTAATTAGTAAAGCTTATTCTATAATCTGCATATTAAATGAATTATAATATTATCTTTCTTCTATCAGTTATTATTCTTAACAATCTTCTATAAGTATTCTAGCAAGTTCTTCGTATGCATAATCTTGCCTTCCTGATTAAGATATTGAACAGAATCAACAAATCCTATATTTGCAAATCTTTTTCCGTTCCAAAGAGTATTCAAGATCGAGATCTCTTAGTTTTCCGCTTCTTGGAAAATTTTATTAAGATGCTTGTTTGTTCCTATTGTAAAGATTGTGATTTCGGATTCTGCAAGGTGTTTTCCGGAGATTCTTCTTATTGCATCGAATGCATTTGACTAAGCTGCTCTAAGTACAATATTATAAGCTCTTTCTCTGAGAAGCTTTGCAATATTGCTATTTAATATTAAAAGTTGGAGAATGAGATTAAGAAGAGGGAAATTAAGCTTCTCTGTTTGTATTAATAGAAGCAGATGTAATCTGAGAAGATAAAATATGCTCTGCATTATAGCATTATTTGCATAAAGGAATTGGATTGTATGAAAGCTAAGGAAGCTAAGGCTAAGAGAATGCATATTGCTGCTAAAATATAAGCTATAGTAGTAGAGGAATCTGTTGTTGTAGCTAGAGATTCTTTCTTTGAAGGTTTCAACTGGAATTCTGTAGATTTGGAAGGTTCTGTAATAGATTGATTGAGCTTTCTGGAGAGTAAGATTTCTGAGATTTCTGAATTTTGGTCTGAGGCAGAGCGATCGTCTTAGATACTGGTTTTCTTTCTTTTCCAATATTCAGCTATTCTTTTCTGAGCGTTTTTAATATTCTTCTGTAGTTCTCATGAGTTTTCGCTTGCTGGGTAGCCTTTCCATTTGATAAGGTATTCCCTTGTGCTGTTCGTACTTTTATACTTGAAAATCTTTTCCACTTCATACTCTGATTCGTTATTTTCTACTTCTGCTATATTATTTGCTAGTATTTCCTGTACTGCTAATTCCAGCAGTAAGATATAGAAAATCAGATATATTCTTATCCTATAAAGTAATACTAACTTGTAATTAACCGGAGAAATCTATTGCAAGATTTTGAATAATTCTAACTTCTTATAATTAAGTTTATTGCTAAATCTGATTATTTTAATATTTTTCCGAAGTAAATAAATCTTATCTCCCTTCTATAGGATTGATTCTTTAATCCTTTTAGAGTTTGCATATTGTATTATTTATTTCTAAACGAATTATAATTCTGATTGGAGTTCTTTCTAAACTTTTCTAATCTTCTTAATTCTTTTATCTGCAGCTTCTGCATTTGCTTCTAGCAGTATTTTGTAATAAGCTGTTAGATTATATCTGTAGAGTATAAAGAATGATAATTTCTTTATTATACTTATATCTGCGCTATTATAAGCAAACTGTGCAAAAAGCAATAGATTAATCCAGTTATTCTGTTTCTGATTAATATAATATTGTAAGTATTATTCAATAATTTAATTCATTCTTTTTATCTATTTATTTATTTATAAGTAAAATGCTATAGATATTCTATAATGTATTCTGAGCTGTTTTATAAGCAAAATTCAAAACTTTGAGTTGAACTTTCTATTTCTATTAGAGATTACTTCTTCTAATATACTATAATTAGCAATAATCATTCTGAGGAATGCATATGCAAGTTCTTCTGCTATACTGCTTTTCTTATAGAGAAGAAAATAAGCATACTTGCTCAGTTTGCAAATCACTACTAGAATGCTATTATATTATATCTTAATTAAGAGTTCTTATAAGAAAGATAGCTTAATAATAAAGTTTAGACTAATAGATTGCTAAATAATTGTAAATATTAATAAGAAATGCAGTAGTTTATAAAGCTTATATCTTTCTGCTTTATTCTTTTTGCAGCTATTATATTATTATAAAATATTTTTAATTCTTTTTCTAAGATTTAGTAAACTTTAATATCTTCTAATGCATTTATAGATTGCTCTAACTTTCTAATATTCATATACTAGTATACTGTATATATTCTTAATATAATTATTTTATTCATCTGAAATTATTAATTCTGAATTCTTTTCTAAGAGTTTTATTCTGAAAGCAGTATTCAGTTCTCTATATATATTGATGAGATTTTCTAATTCATTTTAAGCAAAGATATTCTATATATTTAAAAAGTCTGCATCTCAATAATCTGATCTTCTGCTAAGAGCATCTGCTTATCCATTCTCCAAGCTTTTGTAATACACAATTTTGAAATTGAACTATAAGAGGAATTCTGCTTATCTAACTTGTTGCTTATTCAAAATCTTGATTGTTATAAATATAGTTAGATTCTTATAATTCAAGTGAACTATGATTGAGTATTGTACGCTAATAAGATAATATTGCTATTCTTCAAAAGCTTTTACTATTGCTATAAATTCCTAATCAGAGATTCTATAGTTAATTTCTGAGCTATTTAACTTCTTTGAGAAATTGCTTATAATTCTTAAATATTCTTAATTATCTTGCTAGCTAAGTTGTTTCCCGAGTATATATTCTGATGTATTAATCTCAATTTTAAAGGATTTGTAAAGATCTGCTTTATACAGAACTAGCTCTGAGATGATATGCTTAATGATTTTATTAAAAGCTTCTTGTACTTTGGAGATTTATTCGAAGAATTGATTTCTTTTGATAAGATTTGTAAGAAGATATGCAATTCAGCTGTAGTTTTTAATAAACTGCTTATAGAAGTTGATATATCTGAGAAAAAACCTGATATTTCTAATATTTTTAGGAATTAACTAGTTTCTAACAGCTTTTATCTTATCTTTCTATAGCTTAATGCATTCTAGCTTGATTATAAATCTAAAGTAGTTAATCTTTTGTATATAAAAGTAACTCTTTGCAGATTTTATAAGAAGTTTTGCATCTTGAAGCGTTTGCAACACTGTTTCTACATATTTTTTGTATTCTTTCAATATTCAAGAGAAAATAAGAATATTATTAAGATATGCAATGATGAACTGATTCAGATGCTTATATAGAATATAATTAATCATTTTCTGAAATAAAGCTGAAGTATTCGTTAAACTAAAAAATATAACCAAATATTCATAGTATTTATAATATATTCTGAAAGCAGTTTTCCATTCTTCTTCTTTCTTTATTCTAATCAGATTATAAGCTTCTTTCAGATTCAGAACTATAAATTACTATACTCCTTGCAATCTATTTTATAATTCTTTGATAAGTAGCAATAGATATTGATTCTTGATTGTAATATTATTAAATTGCTTATAATTAATATATAGCTTAAGCTTGCTATTTTTCTTAGATATAAATAAGATAGAATATTCTGCTAGTAATTGCAATAATTATATATATTCTTTCTTAAGATTCTTATTGAGATATTCTCTGAGTGCTTCTAGTTATACTTTATTTAGTTTGTAAATGGGAAAGAATTTGAGCTATTTCTCTTCTTATAGCGGAATCTTGTAGTTATATAAGCTGTATTCTGATAATTCTATATTCAATTCTTTCTGGAATAGTTTCTTGAACTTGTAATATTTTTATAGTATATTTGCAAGTATTAGTTCTGATCTCTGTACTGTTTCTGCTATCTGGAGGAATAGTAGATATTGTTGAGCATACTTCTTTTCTAATAGCGTTTTCAAGAGCTTTAAGTATTCGCTTCGAGCCAGACTGAGCGCTTGAGAGCCTGGTTTCAAGATTTTTTCTGTATGAATCTACAATTCACTTTCTAAAGCTTTTTCTTGTTGCTTTAAAGCAAACTAACTTGCTAAGAGTCTTGCTTCTATTATTTTGCTAATCTATTAGCATTTTAGTACTATTTGAGTTCGCTCATTACTAGATTCTTCTTCTTGAACTGCTAGCTCTGCTAACTTAGAAGTATGTAGGAAGTTATATAAAGCTTCTTTTTCTAAGTATTCTTCAGCTACTAGCTTCAATCCTGCGTTATTAATTGCAACTATCTCTCTAGATACAGCTTGTTCTCATAAGATCTAGCTAGTAATCCAATTGATTCGAGAATTATGCTCTTTGAGCTATAAAAGCTCTATAATCAGCTTATGCTATACTATATTCATGATATTAAAAGAAGCTCTGATTATATATTCTTAAATCAAAATAAGTAGATAATTAATCTTCTTATCGATTATTCCTTGATTATATGCAATAGATTATTCTTTTACAATGCTAAGAATATATAAGCATCTCTTTTATCTTTATTATAATTATATCTAATTAATAATATATGGGGATATAAAGTTTCCCTAAGCGTTACTATTCAATAGTACGCTGTATTTGTATTCTTGAATGTATATATTAAACTTGATATAAGCATAATCTATTCTGAAAGCTTTATATAAGAACTGTTTCAATCTAATCATCTGCAATCTCTTTACAAGCAATCCTGTTCTTTTGAGTTTATTAAGAACTGCTTGTTCTTCTGAGCTTGCTTTGCTACTTCTTAAGCAAGCTTCTTAGCTTGTTTTTGCTTATATTATTATTGTTTCTAATCTTTCTTCTATTAATACTAGTTGCAAATCTTATTATTAATATGAATTATGTAGAGTATTGTTTTGTACTGCTATTATTTTATTTTCTTGTTTATATATTGCATAAGGCAGTTATTTAGTAGTTCGATATATATATTGTAATACTATCTGTTAAAAATCTTTCTGAAGTAGAGTTTCTATTCTTCAACAGCTTGAAGAATTTGTTCTAGTTCTCTGATAGAGAATTATCTATATTGCATCTTATTCGAGAAATGCATTCTGCAGCTATAATAGATGCAGAAAATCTAAGCTAATTTATAGTATAGATTATAAAGTAAGCTGATCTGAGAGTTTTTATCTTCTCATGCTTCGATATTCTGTAAGAGAATGCAGATAAAGAGCTTTTCTAGTTCTATCCTATAAACAAGATATTCAATCCATATTGTTTCCTTATTCCACTCAATATCGAAGAAATACCTTTCTATAGATTTTCTGAGTTTATTATTTACGAAAAACTTCAGTGAATTATTAAATCGTTCGTTCTAGCTTGATTTTTCTATTGCTTGAAAAGCATTTTCAGTATTATTTAGATATTTATACTAATAATTAAGAGAGTATCATCCCTTATTCATATCCCTAGTTATAGTACTTAGTATAAGCAATGAAGAATATTAAAGAGTATTATTGCTAAGCTCTTCTTTCAATATCTGAATGCTTTATTCTATGATATTAGAATAGTTCGAGTTATTACTTGTAAGAATGCTAAGCATGCACTCTTATTCTGCTGTAGCTATTTGTCTGCAGCGCTGAAGCTTCTAAGGAAACTATTCTGAATCTTCCTTACTT